CTGCATTCTCTGCCTCTCCATTCACTTCTGTATTCTCTGATACTTCAGCATCCTCTGCCTTCTCTGCCTCTCCATTCTCTTCTGTATTCTCTACTTCTCCACCCTCACCTGCATTCTCTGCCTCTCCATTCACTTCTGTATTCTCTGATACTTCAGCATCCTCTGCCTTCTCTGCCTCTCCATTCTCTTCTGTATTCTCTACTTCTCCACCCTCACCTGCATTCTCTGCCTCTCCATTCTCTTCTGTATTCTCTACTTCTCCACCCTCACCTGCATTCTCTGCCTCTCCATTCACTTCTGTATTCTCTACTTCTCCACCCTCACCTGTATTCTCTGCCTCTCCTGTATTCTCTGCCTCTCCATTCACCTCTGTATTGTTGACTTCGCCCCCCGCCCCTGCTGCTCCTACCACAGCGGTCTGTTCCCCCCCATCCTCGTCATCACCCCAGCCGCCGCTACTACTGCTGCTGCTACTACTGCTACTACTGTTACTCGTTCTCTTGCCAGCATCTTCTTCTGCATTAGAACTGTGCAGATCTGCTTGCTGTACCGGATCGGCATCGGATGCGATCCGAGTTTCTCCGTTCTCGGATCCCGACACGAGAACGTTGGCTTCCAGCTTCTCCTGATCGTCGTCGGCGGCGGCGGCGTCTGTAGCGACGGCGCCCGTGTACACGGTTGCTAGGTGCGTGTCGTCTGACTCCATCATCACCTGTACGGAGTTACCTGTGACACGGTGACAAACGCAAGGTCTAATTAGCTACCTGGTTCTACTGCATGAAATCGAAATCAACGGCGACAAATGTTTTTTTGGGGACCCGTATGAAATTTGAGGGAGAAGAATGAGTTAGAGATCCCCTTCTCAGAGGTAAATTGAAAGAAACCCTACTTTTTGGGTAGTGAGACGGCAAGTGAAACGGCAAGTGAAACGGCAAGTGAAACGGCCCAATGTGGGTTAGCACCCCCTCAGCACAAAACGACGTGCGTTTAAAACTAAATTCGGTGTATCGAGAGAACGTTAATTATTTTGTTTTCAAGCGAAAAACACATTTTTGAGAAGAATTAGAAGAAGAAAAATTGGAATTTCAATTTTTGGAATGAAACAAACATGAAAGAGCGAGGGAGCGTACTTGAGATCATGACTTCGCTCGGGTTGTCTGCATCTAGAAACTCTAGGCTGACGTTGGTGGCGCCCATGTCCGGTGCATTACTGTATTTCATCTGAGGTTGAGAGATAGATGTACTCTTCTTCGTCTTCACTCTGCCAGTAAACAATAACAGATATAATAAATGGTATTGTAGTATTATTAATAGTAGTAAGGGGAAAAGTAGGAGTGATAATAATAATAATAATAATAATAATAATAATAATAATAATAATACAAGTTTCTGGAATTAATCTCAATATATATATATATATATATCAAGAGTGCATAATAGATGCTCTATTATGATCTATATACATATATTATATTATGATCTATATTATATCTATATTATAGTTTTCGCATTCCGTATACAATAACTGTTACAAACATGTTAAAACGGTTGACGTATGCTGTAATAGTAGTCAACTAGCTAATTTAATGGTTACTGATTAGCAAACGTACGACTGATAATTAAATGAAGACCATAATAGATTCCTTAGGTCGACCCTGCTGTGATTTTACTACGGAAAGCGAAAACACTAGCACGGAACACGCCATTCACGTGTTTTTCGACGAAAAACACGTGCGGCGTTTTGGATATGCGACCTCTCATAGAACAGATTCCCTTAAGCCAGCTCTTAAATAACGTAGCTAACTCCCTGAGCTAGCCAGAACCACTGACTGAGCAATTCAATAAAACACAGACGAGATGGTCTGACGTAACAACGCAG